CCGTAAAGATGCCTTGGAGAGATAACCCACCTAACTCCTGAATTTTTAAATAGACGAACAATTATTTTGTGGTGCTTACCTCACCAAAACAACAAAAATGATATGGATAAAAGCTTCTTAAATTAATTTTTGATCTAACATGGAATAGCTGGTTGTGGTTTTAAAACACACCGCTTGTAAAGAGCCCCAGCCAACACGACGAATGCGTCACGACGTCGTAGTGGCAACCTTCTTGCCAAAATCCGCCCGAAACCATTAAGCACAAGTTTTTCCATCTTACAAAATTTGCCCACTTTCTCTGAAGTTTATTGGGAGGGGATGGTAGGGGAATAAGCGAAAGAAATATTAGTTTTGACTGAATGAGCAATTTGCATCTCATTTAGGAGTGATGACACAGCCCAGCGTTATGAAGGAGGTGGTCAGTCACCTACAAGGTCGCCAGCACCGGATCGCCTTTTTCACGGGTCTGCAGCCCAACATTGAGGAGATGCCAGCGGGCCAACGCGCCATCATGTCGCATGTGGTGACCAATGTAGGTGGGGCGTATGACCCCCAGAAGGGTCAATTTTGCGCTCCTGTCGATGGTGTCTACTCCTTTGTGGTGGCCATCTCCGCCCAGGGAAGGAAGCAGGTTAGATGCACTGCCCCCTCCCCCCCACTAACGAGCATTACTGACTTTCCAAGAGGTGAAAACTTTTCTCGTCGACTGTATTAAAACTAATGAACTTTTCGGATATCAACAAAATTCGGAATAAAACGATGAAATCAGAGGCAACTTGTACTATTTCGTTTCAAAGTTGATTTCAGAAAAACATTATTTTTTTGAAAAAAAGGCGACGAAAGCGGCATAGCATAGGAGTCGTAAAAAATTTTGTTTTTTGCCTCAAATCACCTATGACACCAGGCTATCTTAGTTTAATCATGAAATGAACGCAACTGTTAGCTTAGCACTTATTTTGTTCTTAAAATAGAAGATTTAAAATCTTTTTCATTTGCGGAATAAATATTTCTTGTTAAAATGTTTTCTTTTACGGTTTTATTTCAGTTTATTTGGGACAGCCTTGAAAGCACCTTTGTGTGCTTCGCTAATGAAATTGTACAACCCTCAACACTAGTGAATACTTAACCTCTTGTAGTGCATTCTAAAATTTACAAATCACCTATTTTCCTATTGTTCCGCTTTTATTTGAATTGTTTTTCCTTACAGTACCCAGTTCAGAGTTAATTTTGAATGCTGAGAGGTGGATGAAATATTGGTGCCAAAAGATTACGTAAAAGTAAAAAATTGGCACATAAGCAGATAAAGATGAAGGTTAAATTTTAATGCATTTAACCAAAGAGTGCAGGCAACTTTTGTCTTATGAAATACAAACACTTCCTTCCCATTCTGAATTATTTTCCACTTTTCACAAGGGTATGAAAATTACCTTCACATACCACTCTCGCAAATTCTGTGCTGCAAAAATCGTAATTATAGGCCACGTGAAACAGTGATTCGTCCTGAACTCGACAAACAAATCATTTTTAGAGAAAAATCGTACTTTACCTGCTGAACCTTGGAAATTAATCCACGTCGAATTAATTGCTACTGATAATAAATAAGTAGCATTCAATATTTCTTTAGGCAGCCGTTCGACTGATGCATAACAACAACCACATTTTCGATGTTTGGAGCGACAGTACTCCCTGGTCCACGGCCACAAATCAGGCAATTTTAATGATGAAAAGGAATGACTGTGTCTGGTTGCGACTCCGAGAATCCGCCTTCTACCTCCACGGCTACATGTACTCCACGTTCGCGGGCCATCTGCTCTTCGAATACAACGCTGATCAGGATTAGCTGCATCCGTCACCCTTCTCCTCCCCTTTCCCCTCTCCTCACATCTACCCTCTGTATGCCATCCTTTGAGAAGACCGTTTGATATGTACGTACTCAATGCATATGTGACTGACTCCATCTGCATGATCATTTGAGGATTGTACTTACCTGGAATTCTATTTCTCACCCAAATGAAATATGGGACTGCATCAAATTTGTGTTATTTTAACTAACGCCTTAAACTGTAAATGATGCAACAGGACTTATAGGCCCAAAAAATTAAACGTTTTGAACAGAAGCGCTTAAAGAATGCCAGAGCTTTAATTCTATGAGATTCGGAAAAAATCCAGGAATATATTTTTCACATGAATTCTCGCTCTCCCCTTCAACATTTGACTGGCAAATGAAAGGCTTCATCCTTAAAAACCTTGTCAGTAGGGTACAAATCTTCTGAGCAGCCTTGTGCAAATGAATCGGAAGTCAAAAAAGATAATGTTTGCGAATGGCTGTGGCAGAATAATTTATTTCTGGTGAAAATTATGAGTGGACCGAAGGTTTAGGATCACGCAAGAGCTCCTCGTGGTTGCTTCGCTGAATGCAGTCGTTGTAGACGGTCGTCTTATAAACGCAGATGTACACCCACTGGCGAGAAGATTTAATTGTTGCATGCACATAGACTCACCGGTGCTGTCCCCAATGGGGCATCTTCATAAAGGTTCTGTTGGCTGAAGTGTTTCAAGATGTGTGAGGAATGTGCCTTCCACTTTTTCCGCGTACTACTGCTGCGACACCGTCCAGATTTGAATTAGGACGGCATCAGTAGCCTGCATAAGTCAAAACACCTTTAATGGTCAGTTACGGCCAATTTATACTCGGTGAATACACTGATTCCGCAGGTCTGTAGGAATGATCTACTTGGCGCGCCTTTTGTGTAAACATGTCGTCAGATTCAATTAGTTCGTGGACTGTGGCGTTGCTTTAATGACACCGATGTACAAATACCCTAAAGTGTCACCAGCTTCTAAAATAAAAAAGGAGTATGAATTTAGTGCTAAGCTCACGGTTTCCATTTCGGATAACCCTGCAGGTGGCACCTGAATCCGCATTTTGGTTCTCATTTATTGCAAACTCAACTCTGCCTGACATTTTACCAGTGGTAGATGCAACGGGTTCAACGAGATTTTCATTAAAACTAGCAGATTGCCTAGAGGAGGACACCTTTCAGTGAATAAGGATCGTCAGTGTACAGGGCGTCGGGGTTACATGGGGTCGGGGGGTAGTCTCTCCTCCCCCCTCCTCTCCCCTCAAGGGCCAATAACGTGGGCTCAGTCACGAGGTCGGTGTGTGCTGACCCCTACCCAGCTGGCAAGTACCTTCAAACAAACACGTGATGTAGTGGCTAAGGTCACGATGGAGGAATTTGAACTTTCGACGGCTTAGAATTCACTATTTTAAAATAAATTACATTAAAAAAGAAATCAAATTTTATTGCATACAAAATTTTACCAACCTAAGTCTTGCTGGAACTCAAAAGAAGTCAAAATACTCGGATTAAACCTGTATTTCCTACATAAGAAATGAGGAGGGGGTACTGTGACGGCCTGAAGACCACGCCGCCCGAAGGATCTTTTGGTGCCTGCGTAACCAAAACCAAAGCCTCGTCTCTTTTGAGTATCGACCCTGGCAACACACCCCCTCTTTTCTTGCCAAAGTACACTAGTTATTCTCCCCACAATTTCTAAAAACACTTCCAAATGTGTTTCCAAGACCATCTCTAAAAGTAGAGACACTGGGGAAGATTTGCCTCTGTAAAAAATGCCTTAAAATCGCAGTCGCGGCATTCACGGGGATGGAAGAAGAGAAATTGCAGCCACTCGTGACGGCAAGTCAGTTGACCTTAGTTGACACAATCAGGTTAGGAGGGATGCGAACCAGCTTATTTACTTCACAAGGACATTTGGATGTACCAAATGCGGAACCTTTTAAAGGTTGATAGGGTACACTTGCATCCTCGAAAGAAAGACAGAGGGAAATTTGCAGTACTTTATTTCGAGTTTTCGAACGGAGCGATGCTATGCACAAGACATTGCTTTTAATTAGAGTTGGTGAAACTGGCAGCAGTGGCCAAGGCAGGCATGTCCACCACAACGTCTCTTCAAGGGCACAACCAGGCGGGAGTGGTGGCTGGACTGCTACAGCCTGGGTAGCTTATTTACCACAGACCCTCGAATCGGCAATGGTCAGATGAAAGGAATAAGTGGGGATCAAAATCCTGACGATTACCACCTGGTCCATATTAGGTGTCTGAAATTCGCCTTTCTTCCCCATTTGACTGCTTTTGTGTCTGAGTAAACTTCACTTTTTCCATGCAGTTGCTACTGGCGTCTTGGAGGAAAGTCGATCACTGAAAAACAAAAAGGACGTGCTTCACTTAATGCTAGACTAGTCGGAGCCTAAAAAGTCTAGTTACCCTGAAAACTAAGAACTCTCTACCAATACTGCATCAATTTTCAATCTGTCCGATTCGTCTGCGACAAAGTCTGGTGCGATTCCAGTTGGCAGAGACTGATGAGGGATGTATGGCACAGGTAAGTAATTTTAAAAGGTGGTTTACCAGAAAGATTTTTAATATTTAACTAAAAACAAAATACATGTAGGTATGCTGCGGGGTCCTGAGTCCTCATGGAAGTTGTATGAATGTAGTGCTGACGTGGAGAAAGGCCAAGAGACTACCGACATGACCTGGAGGTCATGCCGTTGGTTGGAAGTACAATACAAGGTGAATTAAGTACCCGCGTAACCAAATTCATGGTTAAACAAACCATCTCTGCTAGCTTGCCTATTTGTTTAACTCGCTGTTTTGGTGTCGCCGGCACTTAAGGCTCCGTGATTTTACTTCCACTGGGCTGCATGGCCTTCGGGCCATGAGAGTAGCCCCTCTCCTCCAGTCTTTCTGTTAGGCGGCAATACATATTCCATCGGGGTATTATGAATCCTTCCACTCTGAGAGAAGTCTCAGGGTGCAAAACTTTATCATATAGGAGAAATACTTTGATTCCTATTACTGAGTGCTTAATCCTTAACGCGATGAATGAAGGGTATCTGCAGCAAAGTAGGAGAATCGGTGACGACCCCTTACCAGAAGGGTTGTAAATGCCGTCTGCTCTCGGCAACTACCCCAGTCCCGTGGTCTGTAATAATGCTATGACGATGAATTTGACAGTAGCTGTGATCTATCTAAAAAGGGTCGTTACGGAGCCGTCAACGGTACCTGGGTGAAGATGTCGCGTAAGTATATACGCGACACCTCTTTCACCTCCATACTAGCTGGTTGGAACCCAGACAGATATAGGTGAGCAGTACTGAAGTGAGGACAAAGCGGCAAGAAAAAGTAGACACAATGCCTTATCCCCATGGCTCTGTTTAAAACGCCGTCCTTGTCATGTGACTCTGTTTTTAGCCCAAGATAGACCTACGAGATGACCGGCGTATTTCCTGCTCCCTAATACAATTCCTAAGCAGGATAAAACTCCAGATCGAGCACAATTGCCAAGAGGGCGTTTGTTACGTTGCAGTCAGTTACCATACCAGTTGCACACAAGCTGGATGACTGGCACCGACTACGTTGTGACGGTTGATCCGGCGTTTGACCGGGGAGAGTGCCGTGGACGTCGTTCTAAAGAGGAGAAGGGTTATGTAATACTTTTATTTTTTGTGCAGTCTGCGGTTTAAGTTATGGGCCGCATGAAGCCCCGTCTCTGCGATTCCATAAGGAAATATGAAGGTCGGGCAGTGCCAAAAGCTCCTCAGCCCTTCTGAGCATCGATAAAACAGATTCTGCCCTAGTATTATTATGCCGCCTTTCGTCTTCAGTGAAGTCTGAGAACGCTCCATCAAATGCCAGGGGTGGACTCCTTGACAAACTTATTCAATGAAAGCACAGAGACTTAGTCAAAATTGCATAGAAAGGTTTTTAAAGAAGTTCTGCTTGATTGAATAGGATTAGAAGTATGGGGAGACTTTCTGGTCAAAAAGACTATACTTTAGTTTATGCCAAGACGACTGTGGTCCGATGTACAACGGATATGATAGAAGGTCGAGCACTTGAACAGCTCAAATCATTTTCATGGTATTGTATTTCGCAATCTTTTTGTAGCCGAGGCCAATCCTATTATACCATAGTTTATCCATCATCCGTTACTCAAAGTATATGAACTAAGGGAAATTTATGACAGAGAATGCATGACTTTACTACGTATGGATACTTGCCTATTTTAATTAGATAAGCTTCTATACATTCTTTAAAAGACACTGGAAGTGCTAAGAATATAGCACTGTGAGCCTTTGAAAAGCATTTTTTATACAAAGAAATGCCATTTTGCGGTTACATTTCGAGCCCAAATGACAATCAGCCCCGACAGTCAGTAATGAATCAAAGCAGTATCAGCCAATCAGAATTTCCAAATCAAGGTCACCACTTGCCTGCGGAAGTGGCCAATCAAGTGGCGCCAATTGAGTCCAAATAAATAAGCATCCAGCTTAATTGAATGGGGAGCCCCAACTACACCCCTTCATTTGACAGACCGTCAATGACCAGGTTTGAAAATAGCACCCGCTGTGTAGGTCCCCACTGCTGTTTCGTCAAAATTTTGTATTTATTTTACCGTTTTAATTCGTAAAATCTAGAAAAGCTTTAAATTTATTTAAGATATTATACATGAATATCCAAATTCGTTCATGTTTGTCCAGATTCGACCTACTGTTCCATTTAAATATCCACACAAAGCGGTAGACTACCATAAAAGACGATATTAACGACAGTGTCTCCGCTTTCCGTCTTTCTTTCAGTTCGATGAAACGGAACCTCGCGAGACAGAAGAGATAGAACCACTGAATTCCATCGAGAAGCAACTCTACGATGATATTGCCAAGATTTTGCCTACACCCACATGCGAGTGGACGGAGAGTGACTTTCCCGACTTGCCTAACCATCCAGACAATGTACTTACCGGTCTCCTGCAGGCTTATTCACGTTTCCTCCATCGGTTTGACACATCCGGGAGATGCGTGGAGGGTGAGGATGCCTCAACGACTGCTCTCTCACCCGGAAGCATTTTGGAACTGCTGTTGAAAATCGGCATCCTTGTGGGAGATGTCATTTTTGTCGCCTACGCTGTAAAAGTGCGGCGACAGGAAGCAGAGGCTGATATCACGCTTTTGTGGATGTCCACCATTTTCTGGCTCATTCTACTCTGGTTAATATTCAAGCATCTCAAAGTGCTGGGAAAGGAGCGCGGCGGCTGTTTTCACTTCTTCGTTTGCTTGGCGGACAGGTGGTCCCATGCGTGGAAAGCATCGTACAAGGGAGTTAAACTCTCATGGGAGAAGGCACTTGGCAGGTGCACGTCCAGTTCCAGAAATATATTGCTCATAAGAAAGAAAATAGGGAAATTGTAAGTCGCTCTTTTTTACAGGAGATTGTCCCTAAAACTTTGTACTTGGAATTAAATGAGTAGGATGAAGGTAACAGGGACGCTCTGATAAAACCCAGTTTGCTACGAAAATATACCTCAAGATTGCCAAATCCACAACCCCAAAGGCTAAATTGGCCCTGGGTCTGACTGCAAAAGCAGAAATTTGAATCAGCTACCCAACATAACTTTTGTCTTTTTCTATATCAGATCTACTTAGCAGCACTTTTTACGTCCTTAAATAACATGCTGGGATGATAATGTCTGATTTGAACAGCCATATTTATTCTTTTGACAAGGAATTCAATACGATAACTTAGCATTTCCTAACCGCTTTGACTTAAATGAATTTAAGTAGTAGTGTTCTAACTAAACTCCTACTCAACATTCACTCAATCAATCTTTCCTAATCAAAAATTCTGCGTAAAATGTTGCTTCTTTAAAACCAATTCTTTTGAAACTGTGCTAATTTATACACTGAGGCCCTTGTTGGTAGCCTCACAAACATTCTTGTCGTCTGCATTGATGAGGCTTAAATGATTCTCCATTTTGAGCCCTGACGCGTAAATTTTTCCATAAAATAATGAAGGTGGTGTGACCCTTGAAAGTATTGGTAGCGTTATTCAAACAAATGAGCTGCCAATTACAGGGCCGAGAAATAAAGCGCTGACACACACAAATCACAAGCCAGGTTTAGGGCATTGTTACTTGTGCATAAATTCTCCCCTTTGTATGTACCTGCAAATACTTGCAGTTTAATGAGTGCTGTAAGGAAGGCAAAATAAAGTGTCCAATTATTTAAGTCCTACCAACCACCACAACTTCATTACTTCATTGTCACTGTTACGGTGATATGGTCGGTGGGTGGGGCACACAATCTTCGCTGCAAACAGTTCCTCGTGACTCCATTTGTGATATTATTAGGCATAGATAAATGCGCTATTTGATTTAGCTAGTCAAGTACTTCCTCCTTCAACTCCACAATCGCCTTCATGAAGCGTCCGAATTATTACGCACTCAAACAAAATTAATCGCATGTGACTAGCTTATAAGAAATGTGAAATTTTACGCTCAACCATGTAAAACAAACTCTTCTTTGATCGCCTTAAACAAACTGACTTACAGAAGTCTGAAAAAGCTGTCAGAAATATTACATAAGTCCACTTTAACCCATTAATCTGTAACTTATCTATGCTACTTAAATGTTTAGTGCCTTTTAAGTAGTGTTTTAGACAATACAAATTCATTTTACTTGTAGATTTCTGATGGTGGTACTGGGTCTTATTACAGCGCTCTACCTAATTTTCTTTGTCCTGATGCGGAATCCCAGAAATTTTGTCTCCCTCATTGGTATTGTGGCAATGGTCCTGATATGCATGCTCATTTCCGTTCATCCAGCCAAGGTGAGCACTTCCTTACTGTTTCCAGTAATCTCCTCAACTGTAAAGCCAATTCGGGAGCTTTTATTACTAGGCAAACACATTACGGACCCAGACAGCGTTTCTGTCGAGCCAATGCAAACGCATATAAGAGTGGCGCAAAAGGTTACATAGAAGTTTACTAAAGAACTTCTTAGAATTGACAAGATTTTCTCGATGAAGTAGCAATAATAAGGTGGTTCTGAAAAATGAAGGTCATTTTGAAGGTAGCTTCAAAATAGGACAAAAAATGAAAATCCGATTGACTAGTATTTAAGTAGCTTCAGTTAAGTAGGCTCACGGAATTTTGAGTCCAAACAACATGACCTCATGGTTAGCAGGCCGACATATTTTCAGCTAGTAAATTTCAGTTGAAGTGGTCATTTTAAACTGCCTCTTTTTTATTCCTCCTTAGATAAAGTGGCAACCAGTTCTGATGGGCTTCTTTCTGCAATTCACCTTTGCAGTCCTCACTTTGCAGACAAAGTTTGGATACACTGTTTTCGAGTTTATTGGGGCTCAAACTACTGCGCTCATGGATAATAGCGGGGTCGGGGCGTCGTTTGTTTTCGGCGACCTCTTTCAGGTCGAATGTTTTGCAATCAAGGTGAACGGAATTTCGCGTCACCCACTTGGGACACAATTATGTCTCAGGCAGCAAACATCAAAATTACTAGCAGAAAAGGATGTTTTAGCGAGAACTAAATTTAGAATCTATATAATCTCACAAAACTCATCAATAACTTATCATCCATCCAAATTGGTTCTCAATTAAAGCTCATTAAAGACGTCCAAATCATCATTGAAACTGTCAGTATTGAAGTTTCTTAATTGCACTTATGCTAAACCACAGATTAGCTAAATGTTGTGAAACCAAGGCATACGAAGACCGCAAAAATACTTTTAGACTACGCGCATTTGAAAGAATAATAGGCATCCTGCTTTGACGTTCAATGAATGACACGCTTTAAACGCATTGTTGTTTATAGCTACTTACAAAGAGGTACCGCTGGAACATTGTTTATGAGCTTTATGCATAAAATGGCTTCCCAGTACTAATTAACAAAAATCCAGCAGCGCAAGTATAGTAGTTTGATGCGTGCGGAAGTAGTAGGTTTACCCCTTGTTGGTTGATTTAAACAAAAAAACGTGTCTGCTACTTTAATTTATTACTCTTTCGTTCAACTAACGAAAATGTTTAAATAATTGGGGAATTGCAACCCTTTTTAACCTACTTTTAAGGTTAATATGGGTTCAATACGTCGTACCATTTGGGGTTTTTTGATTTCACAAATTTGAAAGGAATCTGGAGGTATAAGCTATAAAGTGAAAATACAAACTTCAGAGTTAAGAGTGCTTATGTACTTAAACCTTCAGTCAAAAATTACCCGATAGAAGAATTTTTGTTATTTAGATTCCCCTACTTAGCTTTGACCGAACATATTTTCATTCAACTTTCTGTCCAGGTTTTACCTTTGGTCGTGTTCTTTTCGTCATTTATTTCAATAATGTTTCACCTCGGGTGGGTTCAACAATTCATAATACAACCATCAAATTTTATTCGGCACATAATGGGAACCACGGGACCTGAGGCAATCAACGCCATCACAAATATTTTTCTTTCAATGGTAGGTTGGCACCCTAAAAGGCTCATTTAAATAAACGCCGCTGTGCCTTTAAATCGTCAAAACCTTACAACTGTCAAATCTGCCCAGTAGAGTTGACACATGCCACCACGAGACTCAGCGTCTTAAAACGACTGCTTCCACATTACTTGCCGCTCTGAGAGCTGTCGCGGAAATCACGGCCCAACAGGCATGGACCGTATTATTTCCTTTTGTATCAAATGAATGTACAAGGGCGTTTCGCAAGCAAAAGTGATAATATCCAGGCAGCAGCCAGGATCTACTTACTTTAAATACAAAACCTAATTGTGCCCGAACGTTGTTATATGAGCCCAATGGGTTGCGATTATTTCCATTTATATTTATTCAAATTGCATATTAAATAAAGTATCATACATCGAAAAAAGTCTCAGTCTGGAATAAAAGCAAGTCTTCTCGTGTCTGGCACAGATTAGTATCAATCCACAGTTCTCAAAACTCCACTTTTTTAAATAAAATCGAACATTATATGTTTATTTGTAGGTATTTTTTTGTAAGTTACGATATAAAATATGCGGTTATATCCGTCATTGTAAGACAGAGGTAGATCAGAGTAACTGTAAGGCTGCGTTGACCCAATTTGTTAATGTTTGAACTTTCATTTCTTACATTTCACTAATTTTCTATTTAATACTAGAATGAGGCACCACTGCTGATCAAGCCCTACATGTCTCAAATGACAAATTCGGAATTGCATGCCATAATGGTGAATGGCTTTGCTTCGATTGCCGGACCTGTCATGGTGGTTTACATCACCTTTGGGGTGAGTCCCAATTCACTCCCCGTCCCGCTCAGTTCTCTTTTGACGTTAATATATAAAAAGGGAGTTGTCTGCTTATAAATCATTAACAGAGGATTTACGCTACTTTTTGTTCTGATCTCTTACTCTCTGAATTGATATTTTGTTTAATGAATTTCAAAAGGTCCCCGCAAATCACCTCCTGATTGCCTGTGTCATGTCGGCACCGGCAGCTCTTGCCATAGCAAAAATTATCTACCCGGAGACAAAACAGGCGCCCTTGGCCAAGGGCATAAAGAAGACACTTCATTCCAGGTGAGCTGTGCGGTTGATGACCTGAGGATACGCTTTCTCTCAAGTATCACTAAGAACGTGAAATGACGATGCTGAAGACTTGTAAGGACCTCCATTTAGGAGGAAAGATGTTTAAGTTTTAAGGAGACCTAGAAAATTCCTGTTATTTTGGAGCCTTACTTATCAGTCCTGGGTGACCTCTACACAACTGATGGATTGGTTTGACCAACTTCGGCAGAGAAGGCGTGTTAGAAACTGACTACGGAAAGTGCTCTGTGTTGGTGTTAGACGTAAGAGTACACTGTGCATTGAAACTGAGGACATTAGTCTTCTTTCCCGCCTTATTTATGTCCCCTTTGGCCAACGTATTTTTAAGTGCGTCTATTTTCAGCTAACGACATGCCCCTCCCCCTTCTAGTTAATAACCAGTGGTAGTACTGAAGCGCCCCGTGCCTTCCTTAAAGTCGGAAGAAGTCGCATGAGTATGGTGGAAGATACATTACTGGTGTACAAAGGGGGTAAGGCCACCGGCGTGGTCAGAAGGCCATACCGGGAAGTAGAACTACAAAGGCGGGACCCTAAAGTACCCTCGTAACGGAAAAGAAAACTTAAACAGGCAAGCAAAGCATTGCAGTGTGGCTCTCCTTGACTTCCATGAAGACGGATGGGATATGTATTGCCGATATGCTGAAGGGGGGTGAAAGGGGATCAGTGGCATGGATTGGGGGCAATTCCACTTGATAAAAGTAGAATAGCTGAGCCTCAAGTGTCTGCATAACCAAAACGAATATTCAAACAAACAACTAGAGCATTACAATACAGCTTACTCATTTAAAATTTAATTCTACTGACTGGTGAAGTCGTTGTTTCACATTTAGTAGGATTGCCAAACAATGGAATAGAGGTACTGTCACTTCCCTTCATTTTTTTTTGCAATTTAAAAAAAAATGCACGGCAAATGTAGTATGCGGTTTGATTTGGAATTCTTAAACACTAATACTTAATAATTAGCCTCAGCTTACTCTAAACTCCCCAGACCACGCTAGAAGGTCAAATCCACCTTTGACCTTGTCTTCCTTCACACAGTGACCTTTGTCGAGTTGTCATTCGGGCAAAACGATGTTTGCTTTCTGAATTTTACAAAGTTAATCAGGTGGCTCCAGTCTGTATGATCGACGGGGGTGGAGGGGGCGCAAGCTGCGAGCCAGAATGCATTTCGGGCGGCCTGCGTGCAAAACAAGGCTAAAAGTTAATTGCCTAACCTCTAAGCTATCCATTTAAGCGATTTGGGAGTTGGCCCCCATCTTTATGACATTACTTTCCTGCATTACGGAATCAGACTTGTAATTGCGTGCTGGGGACAGTTTTGTCTCGTCGTGGTCGGCAAATTCAAAGGAAACAACGCGGCAGGTTAAAGTACTCTTCAAAGATGTACATTGCTAGCCCTACTTTTAACAAACAGATGGTATCCTTAGCCCCATCATTCACTTAACCGGCAATTCGATTATGTAGTTAAGCAATTGAAACATTTGGTTTGCAAACTTAAAACAAATACTTCTATGACTAAGTGATTTAAATGGTTTCGTTTGTTAGCCCTTTCACCAATCTTATTGAGGCGGCAACGGTTGGCGCATTGGAGGCGATACCACTGTGTGCTGGTATTATTGTCAATCTAATGGCCTTTCTCAGCATCTTCAGCGTTTTTAACCGCATTCTGACCTGGCTCGGCCATCGAATCGGCATGGCTCAGGATCTCACTTTTGAGGGAAGTGTCTGCTTTGTGTTAAGGCTGTACACCGCGGAAGTCTCCCATGCCTTATATTGGTATCTTTCGCTTTTTTAGTTGATATTTGCCTACTTACTTTGGCTCCTGGCGTTCGGAATGGGGGTACCAGCAGAGGATTGCTTTAAGGTTGGAGAGTTGGTTGGTATAAAAACGGTGCTGAGTGAATTTATTGCCTTCAAGAGGTTGGGTAAGTCTTAATACGTTTTAAGGCACAAATCAGTACTGCGATGTAGCAAAAGTAGGAGCTTAAATAAACCATGCTGGTAACAATGAATACCAGGATTAAGGATAATTATTCATTGTCAAAAAATGTCGTCTACATGCGATCAGAATTTGCACGAGACTGTATTTACACTCAGAGGTACTTATTCCGTCATCTTTCAAAGGTCAACTGATTGAGGATTCCTCCGTTTACGACTCCTTCCATAATAAATCTCTACCTGTCACATATTTGGCAAACGGTTCCATCATTATCACGGATGGTCTCAGCAATCGAACCCTTCAATACGGCTTTCTTCATGCAAGTTTGCATTTATCCTTTCATTTAGTTTGAATAAGGTGTAACAAACAGCCTATTTTACATTTTATCCATCATTGCACACCAAAAACGTTAAACGATATCCATATCTTAAAATCATAAAAATCTTGGGAAAAAAGGCACCATTCCTTTGTTTGACTGGGATACATTGCATGCATTCACAGCACTTTTTCCAGGTATATTGAAAAAAAGAAGAAGAAGCTAAGCACTGAAGCATACTGTTGCACTTTCAAATAGTTTGTGTTTTGTCATTCTAAAAATACGTTTTCCATGAATTGAGATCACAAAGGCATAATACCGCATGTATGTTAGGTAAAAATCTCTTTATGATTTCTCGCAGATTTGAGGCTGTCTAAATCCTGTCTTGCTCTGATTTTTTCGTAATTTGCATAGTTGTGTTAAAATGTTGTTTGGATCAGAATAGCATTAAAAGTGTAAAGCTTAAACAACAATTTTCAAGCATGAGGATCTTTGTTTGAATACACTGTAGGGCCCCGGACGTAGTCACCTTTAAACTTCAGGGCATTCAAAAAGGCTCAAATTGTGGCCTTGTTATTTGCTAGTACCTGTGCCTGCAGGTGTTTCACGCAATCATTATTTAAAATTTTAAGTGGATCCTATCTGTTTAGAGCAGAAAAACAGCCGTGATTTCATCCTATGCACTATGCGGATTCGCGAACGTTGGCTCAGTGGGCATTCTCTTAGGCACATTCATTAAATTGCTGCCTCACAGACGCAAGGATCTCTCCGGTATGGTTGTGCATGGCATGATCGGAGGCACTATTGCTGCCTTTGTTACTGCATGCTTTGCTGGTACGCAAGTTAACTTTGCAATCTAATTGGCTCGATTGTCGTGGGCTGGCCTTCAAGCCGATAGTTGCTAAGTCTTATTGCAACCGTTAGCTTACAGAGCGAAGTATGGCCTTTCTCGATAGGTAGTAATAGCACTCATAAATAAGCTTGATACTCATTCGACTTCAGATTGGGATTTCACGATGTTGGGTGAAATATGACTCAAAAAGGCGCAAAATACATCAGTAGTTAAAGGATGTTATTCAAATAACATTTTGAATTTTGGTGACATTACTGATAAGGCATTTTACAAATCTTGCCTCTACTTCTGCGAAAGTGCACGCAATTCTCCAATTTTTCTAATAATAAAATATTATTATAGGCTCATTTAGGACAGTGAAAAAGTTCTTCAGGAGTTCTAATGGTGTCTCCTAAGCGGAAAATCATCTCTTGGGGCAATAAAATAAATTGTTTTGACTGAAAGGAATTGTCCTTTAGTTGCCATTCATATCTTCATAGCCATCCACTACAATAATAAAAATAATCGTAATAAATAATGAAATCAGAGCAAAGCATGGAGTCCGTTGCACTGGTTCGTAAAGAGAAGCAGTGGGTTAGCTAGGTATATTTCTTCGTTTAATTTTATAAGTACAAAGTCATGACGCCCTTTTTTCGCGTCGGACAGGTAGACCTCATGACCAGTAAACAGTAATGAGTACTGTGGAAAGGCATTGTATTGTTCACACATTGCCCATCCGTTATCTTTATTTTAGGTCTGCTCTACGATCCCAATTTATAAAAACACCGAGGAAAATAGAGTCAAGCGAAAGATAATTCAATCATTTATTTTTGTCGTTTAACCAAACATTCTTCTGGTTATTTGTATCCTTGACTCCCGCACAATTTTTCTTCAAAGTGTTTACACAAATGATTTCAATTTATTCACCTATTGGCCAAAAGTTCACAAATTTAAAACATAAGCACTTTAAAAAGTAGACATTTAAACCTACATGCACAGGATTTGAAATATTATAAACTGGCAGAGAGCTAAAAACACCAGATGGGTGGGGTGGTATAAATTCGGACCATTTCTGAAACTTTTGGGTTTTAAGGACTTTTAAGATCCATTTATGGTGTTACATAGTACAAGAAGTAAGAAGAGTTTACTTCAAATTCGAATAAGTGAGTGGATGTTCCCTTTCAAACTATAATGACAGGCTAATTTGGGTTGTATGCAGGGTGTGACAGAGTCGACTAGATTGCCAAAAGGGCGGTACGTGAAAGCCAAGTAGAGGTGTCTTGGTGAGCACCCAATTTGCTTACTCACACACAATCAGACAGCTTGGCGTGTCATTACCGGTGCCATTCACATCTAGTTTTTGTTAAATGCAATCGCACGTTGCTGGAGGATGGGAGCCAATGAGTGTTGACAACTTCGAGGCCTAATGAACTCCTAATGAAGCAGAGGCGGAGGCTTCTGCCACTTGGCACCACGAAAGCTCACGTAAGCTAAGTTCAATTTCAACGCTACGGTAGTCTCCAAAGGATCAACCGCTTGAAGCCCTGTACCCTCGATCCACATTAAAGAAGTCGTGAGAGAAATAGCCATCAATTTCGATCAGGTTAGATAAAATTTTATACCGATTTGTTGTATAACGAAACTCTACATGAACATGTTGTCCTCTAGGTAGTTGTACATCTAGGAATTACATTCCTTCCAAATCATATGTTTGAACTTTGATGAAACAATATCATGATCAGTAAAAGGCAGAGCTTTAAGGAATTTGTTGGTTTCACCGCTTAAATTAACGAAATATGGTGGCTAACTAAACCAGGTTATCAAATTACTGTGTTGGCCTTAAACCGAAATCCACCACAATCCCGGTCAAGTTGGAAATGTTGCATCGAAACCCGAGTATTATATTCATATCCCTTTTTGCTATTCCATGCCCAGAAAATGGTACGAGGGGGGACTGTCCAGCCTGCATCTTCCATGAATCCACGAGCGGATGCTGAAGCCGTGGCTGAGGCTTTCAAAGGAATGGGTAAATAACTGTCCTGATTTAGAAATGTTTATAACTTTTCCTTCTTTTCTTCCGACCTAAAAGACGGTTTTTGTCTTTGTAGGGTATAAAAAGGATGTATTGTTGGATATTTTTACCAACCGATCGACATTTCAACGCAGTCTCATTTTGAATGCCTATAAGGCGGGTTTCGGTGAGGTGAGTACTTCAAAACTTTTAAACCTTTTTACAGCTAAGTTTATACCTAAAGTCTTGACACATTTTAGGCACATTCAAAATCCTTTACAAAAGGATAGCTAATTAGGCTAGACAGGAAAGGGCTCATAAACTTGATTCTTTCTTAAAATAGGCGTCTCTAGACGGCAAGAGCAAATTTTAAAGGTGCCAATGGAATTGACAAATGACATGTTAAACAGGTACTGAAGCTTGTCATGCCTCCATTTCAAGCACATTATAAGAGCATGGGTTAATTCAGGGCTGAGATTTTTTTAATTCTTTATTATGAGCACTTTCCATCCCTCCGATCGCTGCCAGTGATGACGACTACTGAGGAGGGAATATTCCATTTTGAGGGAATACTCCACCTTTTCACCCGCAACTCAACCTCATAGTTACAGTAATAAAAACAAACCCACTAATTTCCTATCTCCCCTATAAAAAATGATGAGTGGAGGGGCTCCCTACTCGTTTTCAAGATGCCTTTTTTGTCCCACCGCGTAGGAGTTAAAAATATTTGACATGAATAGGATACTTCTAGGTAGCCATAGCCCCTCTATTCAATAGCACAAAGCCAATTTTATCCCCGTAACCTTTTCTCAAACTACCTGGTAAAATGTAAAAAAAAAGTCCGTCATGTAATCTTCTCCTTTATTACGCCGTTGAAGCCGGGAAAACTGTTGCATTTACCTCCCCTAGTCCTTGAAACAGAGAGTGAGGTCAGAGATTAATGGGGATTTCAAAATTTGCCTCCTCTCCTCCTTTGACGATCAAAGTCATGCCGATGCCAGAGCGCTTTTCAAAGCCATGTCAGGCATCAGCACACACGACAAAACCCTCATGGAGGTCATTTGCACCTCCACCAATCAGGAAATTCGCGACATCAAATTAGCTTATCAAGACAGTGAGTGAGCTTTAAAGTATGATTTGTGACAATTTGAAAGCACCTGGCACAAAATAAATTAGTTTTAAGGCAATGATTTTTCTCTTTTTTAGTATTACAGGAGGAGAATAAAGACAGTAAGTTGTTTGTAATTTATACTACTCGGAAAATTACTAACGTCTTTAAAGGTAAGGCTTGAAAATGTTAGCAATTACTAGTGGCATTGTATGGCTCCAAGACTTCCATGAAGTCGTATCGCAGAAGACATATTGCCGATGTACGAAAGGCCCAGGGCCGTCTGAGGCATGGCTCGAAGGCCATGCTACCGAGCAGAAGTACAAGGGTGAAGACTTGAGTGTCCTTGAAATGAAGAGTTCAACAAACAATCGGATTATTACATAGCCATCCCCTCCTTTTGACCCTCATTCCTAGCGCCCGCTTGGTCATCCTCCCGCGCTGACCACCGCAACGCATTTGGTGCTTTAAGGCGAAATACCTCCAGACCAAGCACGCCGGTAGAGACGACATCTGACTGTAACGTCAGCGGTGCCTCTTGGCAGTTCCACTGGATAGTGCAAAGCCTCTGATCTTCCACGAAGTCGAAAGGAGGGCTAAAGGCATACCTTAGGGACCATGCTTCCAAGCGGAAGTACAAAAGTGAAGACTAAAGTGTTCTAAAAAACCGGAAAGCAGGAGTTAAACAAGGGATTGCATGTTTCCCCTTCATTTTGGTCTTCTTTCCCGGTGCTCTATTTGGTCAATCTTCTACCTCAGCCATCATAACGTTTCAGGTGCTGTGAGCAAAAGGTCCACCTGCCAACCACTTTAGTCTTCAAATTTGGTGAAGACTGTGAAGACATCTGACTGCAACGTCACTGGTGCCTCTTGGCAATTCCACTGGATCTAAAGTTGCATCTAGTTTGAGAATTGTATAGAGAGAGAAGGGGAGATGCGGAAGCCCTCAAGAATGTCCATCGCTAGTCGTGAGAGCACTGACCTGACAGCGGAGTTGTTGAATGAGGGATGGTGTTTGAAATGGTTTCGTGGGGATAAGGTTTTACATCTACTCCTCCTAACTACTACACTCTCAATTTAGTGCTGCCCAGTCACATGTGTCTGGGTTCCATCCACCTGGTACTGAGGTGGAAGAGGTGCCGCGTGTTCACTTATTTCACGAACTCCTACTGGTGCAGTAGACAACTCTGTAATGCCTTTTTCCAGATCGTTCATGGCTGATGTCGCTTTTGTTGTCTATAGTTCTCCTGCCGAACATATGAGTGGGGGTAGTTGCCAAAGGCAACTTTTGTTGAGCATATACCCTTCTTCCACTGCGTTCAGGGCTAGGAAGTAGGGTCGGGGTCATTTTTTACTGCTACCAATGCAGCTCTTCTAATCCTTTCCGATGAGGGAAGAGTTTCTAATACTAGGGCGAAGTATGTACTGCCGAGGTGTTGAAGGGTGGAGGGGCTGGTGGCACGAGCTGAAGGCCACGTCCCAGAGTGGAAGTATGCCACGGAATACGCGTTACTGATGATCACTTTATGCTTTCCTTGTAAGCATAAATCATTTGGGGTTTTACTTAAGCAAAGATCTGTTAAATGCTTAGATTTATTCCCACATGTTTTGGAATGTTTTAAGGCGATTTTGAACGAAAACTCAAACTTACCGCCATAAGGCGTATACGTGATCGAGTCTGTTTTGCCCACTTTGAACTGCATGTGATACACGATTGCGTTTGTGGGCCTTTAGATAAAACAAGAAACTTGGAGGGTGATTTGAAGTCCTGCACATCCGGCAACTTCCAGCGACTTCTAGTTGCGGTGAGCCAGGGAAGGCGCAGTGAGACTGTAGATCCTCAAATCGCCTCAATAGACGCAAAGATTCTCTACGATGCCGGAGAAGGGTAAGGCGTCCTGTTCCTTTACCATATAAAGTATCAAACATTAGCACTTTTATATTAAAGACTTTCAAGGCAGTGAAGGCTACTCTTCATGCTCTTCATCTGTCTGGTGAAGAGCATAAAGTTGTTTCAGTTAGAAGCTACTTGGTTTCGAGTTTATGAGATAATTAGTACCTATAAGGTGAAATGCTATTTATTCTTTAAAAAGCTTGTAAAGTGATTCATTTTATCACAAAATAATTATTTCCGAGATTGTGCAAATGTACGTACTGTAGCGACTCGAGTCTTTTCCAAGACCAAAGTCATAGTACCAGGGCCGAAGGACTGAGGGGTTACTGAAGGCCACACTGTCCGGCGGATATTTATTCAGGGCGCCTTAAATTTTCGTAAAATCAGAACGAAGAGTCAAACAGACAATCAAAGTATTATATAGTTATCCCTCTACGAACGATCTGTAGCACTCCTGGTGTTTCCCGAAGTCGAAATGAAGTTGTAGGGTAATGGCGGAGGATATTGTGCTAATGTTCGAAAGAGTTGAACCTCTTGGCACAGCCCACAGGCCATGCTAATGGGCCAAATTACAAAAGTCCTTCCTGTCTTTTGAGCGTCATCTTCGGGGCTCCCTGCGTCGGCCATCAAAACATTTCCGGTGGTGTGGGAAAAGCACCCACGAACCGGCTGCGACAGTTGTCGAACTTTCGTGCAACTGAGAAGATACATAATCGCAACGTAACTGAACCCTCTTGATAATTTCGTTAGATCTCGAGTGTTCTCCTGTTTGGAAGCTGTTTTGAGGGAGGGATGAATGGGCAGGTCATCACCCATATCTGTCGCTAGGCATAAGAACACTGACCCAAAAGCTGAGTTATTTAACCAAGGACGGGGTTTGGGATACTTCCAAGAGAATCAGTTTTCCCATCCATTCCTCCTTACTATTGAATTCTCACTTCAATGCTACCCTCTAGCCGGTTGAGAGGTGGAGGAGGTTTTGCCTGTTCACGGCTATGGTCGCTGCAGTTATCAAATGCACTCCTGAAAAACAAGGGACTAGACGTCCCTTCAAACCCTTCTGTTAGGGGGTTGTCACAGATCCTCCCATCCCCAGCATGTACCCTTCCTCCGTCATTTTGAGATTAAGCATCTACTAATCGAGGTCGGGGCAGTTGTCCCGAGGGCTCAGGCTCGCTTTTCGCTGTCGAAAGGAGTCGTCATAACATGATTTAAAATGTGTTGCCGACGTAGAGAAGGATGAGGCGGGGTGGGGGAGACGGCTCATCGGGACGGCCCGGAGGCCATGCCGCCGGACAGAAGTACAGTGGACGCGCCTTATGCACCGGCGCAACTAAAACAAGGAGTAAAACAATCAGGATCTTACATTACCACTTTCTAAGTTCTAGCTCAGATCTTGTCCATAACCTTTCTTTAAACAGTAAAACTAGCAATTTTTCTTTTATTCATTCGCAAAATATTTTACCACAAATAATACAGTTGTATTTTTCTACTCCCTACCCAAATTGATTATTAGCCACGAGATAAAAAAAGTAGGCTAGGGACTGGGTGACACATTTATTTGCTTATTTTTTCAGACGAATGGGAACGGACGACTCCACATTCATTCGCATATTCGCCTCTCGAAGTTGGGAGAGCCTGCGAAAGACCGACGAGGTGTATGCAGAGGTGCGAGCATCTTTTAGGCGGTGAGGCGAGTCTTTTGCAGATGGCATTAACTGCCTGCTTTTCTTTCAGTCATTTGGACATGGACTGTATGAGGCAGTGGAAAAGGAGACGCGGGGCAGCTTTCGGAGGGGTCTTCAGCTTATTTGTGAGTTAAATTGGTATTACTCAGCCGATATTATTGCAAAAATAAGCTAGAAAATAAATATTTTATATGAATTATAAGCAGAAAAATAGCTAAAGCCGCTGTGTGACGCCCCCAGTTTTCCCTGAAGTAGAAAGAAGACACAATACCAAGACAGAAAGCGCATTGTTGACGTACAAACGGACTTCCGCAGAGATTATCGTGGCTTGGAGGCCAAGGTTATAAAGGTGGAGCCCTTAATTGTCCTCCAAACCAAATCCAAGAGTTAAACGAACAATAAATATAGTACGGCCAAATAACTTAATGGGTGGAATGCAAAAAAATTCCTTCTTCTCTTTTAAAAGAAAAACATTTGAGGCGGAAATGTTTGATGCCTTTTAGTGGAGGCTGCCACTGATCGAATCAAATGCTACGCAAAAATACTCTACGACTCAATGAAGGGAGTAGGCACTCGAGATGAAACCCTAATAAGGATGATAGTTGGACACTCCGAGGTAAGGATTTCCAACTGTCAGCAAGGTTTTTTTCAACTACTGTCACTTTCACCTCATTTGAAAGTGCATTGTGCAGTCTCCCGTTTATCAATGTTGCTTGTTTATCAAACTGTTCTGCAGCGAAGTAGTGCAGGAGATTTCATCCACCATTCCTTTACATGCAAACAATCTAGTGACCACTTTGATTTCTCTAACTACTTTTAGACGGATCTCGCTTTGATTAGGCATTACTTCAACGCAAATTATCCACAGACTTTAAGTGGAATGATTAAAGCGGATACGCATGGCGATTACCAACAATTTCTCCTCGCAATCCTTCGAGAATCGGACAGCTGAAATTCACCACCATATTGTCCAAACAAATATGAGGGATAGCATGCCTTCTGTGAAATATGTATCGAATGCTGCAAGACTGCACCCTCACTAGCTTAGTAGCTTTCATTCATGGTTTGTATAATGCATATTCACTTATATTAAATGGTCTTTTCAGGGAACCTATAGGAAATAATTCAGGAATTTTTAGCTACTTATGAAATATAGGTAGAATATTTGTACCAAAGAAGCTCAACAAAATAGAATTCACTATTAAAGGTAATTAAGGTATAAATGATGTTTGTCAAAGCTTATCTTTCCTTAATATAATTGTATAGCTATTAAATCTTGGAACAGTTTATTATTTTGGACATTTCAGGCAAAATTATCTTACATAACCAAGAATTTATAGCACTCATAAACGGCTTTAAACGGAGTAAATATTTCTCTTAACTCTGTTTCAAACCTTAAATGTATAAGTCAACTTCAGTAATGCAATTTAACTACCTACAAATTGTTTTAATTAACCAATTAACTGGAACTGACAGTTCGCCAGACTCCTCAACGTTATTTGGACTCGATACTTAAAAGCAGTGATTTTGTATGTTTATTTTGAACAGCATAGAGCTAACTTACAGCGTATAAACACTTAATTTTGAACGCATTACTTCAAAGTTAAGGCTGCATTTTATACCCTACATTTGCTTAATTTGTAAGTTCTACTCCCAATTTACAGTTAAAATTCTAACCTTATATGAGGGGATCTCAGTTTACACTAGCAGCCCTCAAAGTTTTAGAAAACATTTCCAAAAAATAAGATAAATCCCAAACATCCTTGCATTTTACTGTAAATCAAATAACCCCTTTAATTCTGACTGCATTTAATGTTATTTATCCGTACAATGAACTCCTTCACAATGCACCATTGAGTGCTTAAAGAAATTCACAAACCTTTCTAGCATGACGATTTGCTTAAAATACGATCATGAAAATGCGGTGTCAACTATCAACTAAAAGACATGGTTTGGTTCCTGAATGCACCACAAAAACAGTTACTGTTGGAGAAAGTGAGAGCGGCAATAATTAATGTACGACAAACTAAAGCCCAATTTGGAAATCAGAACCTAGAATAGTTAGGTTAAAAAAAGGTGATCAATTGGTTATTCAGTCCTCATGGCGAAGTTCAAGGAAGAGAATGGTGCACCCTTTCCAGCTCCATCTTGGCTACCCAAGTAATTTTGCAGCATAATTTTTGCGGAAATGCAAATAGGAAATCACCTTTGCTCTCCAAGAGTTCTGGTTAATGGGTCTTTAGGACTAAAAGGTATTTTTAGGGGCCAGTGAAACAACAGCTGAATACAGAACTTTATTATGCTCAGGTCTTATAAACGCAGATATAATTTGGGGTTTATTTGCGTGGTTGAAAAGATTCTGTCTTTTGCAATGAAAAACGATGCCAGAGCCTTATTGTCTGCCCTTGAATTGGTTTGTTTATATGGAACAGGTTTTTTATTCACTAGATCTTTCATGACGTGTAGGGTTGTCACCGCAGCAGAAGTCTATGTTAGGTCTCGGTTGCTAGCATGACCTTGTCCCTCCTCGACAACAAATGCGCTCAATCCTATTTCTTTTGTTTACTAATTTACCCCAAAATAGCACCATTTGTCTTGACTCTTTTAACAGCGTCGTTTTAGCTATGAAAAGTTGGTATTTTTCAAAAAACAAAGCAAAATATAAATCATGGCAAAAGGGAAGTGTGGTGTAAGCAGCCATCCTAAATTTAATATTTACAGTCGCTAAAGGCCTGCAAATTTAAATGCGCAGGCACATCGAAATTAGAAGGAGGTTGATTTCCATTATCTAAAAGTATTTTACCACAGCCAGATCGGACTTTAAAGTTGTCATGGCGACCATACACCAAAACAGTGGTGTCGCCACAAAGTGCCGATGCTCTAAGGAGCAACCATTAGTTTTTTGTTAATCAAAGTCAGGTATCATGTAGGTAAAATAAGTACAGCACAAGTGACGAAAACGCGTTACTGAATTGATCCATTTAAATTACAAAGAACATAAAATGATCCTTAAATATGGCAAATATTGTATTCAAATTGAATACTTCAAAATCGTTTATTTTAGAGGTCTTACAAACCTTAAAAATAGAGGTGGTAATTATTTATTAGTCTTTGCGTCCGATTTAGTTGCTTTAACAGGTCAAAAAGCCTGCCATAGGTAGTATCAGTAGAAGTGGGGAAAAAATTCTTCTTCCATGACAGTTACATCCGTCTCTGCATTCCATTCCCTTATTAATCATTCCCTCTTTCCTCAAGTACTCACCGATTTCAAAATTTATTGACACATCAGGAAAAACTTTTATAGGTTTGTTGTTCACGTCCAACATCTAGACATCGAACTGGAGAAGAAAATTGTAGCAGTGATGCGTTCTGAAGTGTTCCTCGTTAATAATTACTGCTGATAATACGTTCTTAAGTCTGTATACACAAATGTTAATGTCCTTATTACTTATTCATGCAATCAGGCGAATGTTTCAATTTCCTGAGGGCGAAACCTTAAGACTATGTTATATATTTCGATATTAGCACCTTCAATCTTCTCTCATGTGATACTGTTCAAACAGACCGGCTCTAAAATCTTAATATGAATACATTTTGGGAGAATTACAACGACTATGCTTCTGAAGTTTTGGCCGAGACTCACAATCAGAAGCCTTTTGCGAATCAGTTTTCTTAAGGTATCTTTAAAATCAGAACAATACAGCCGCCACTGCTCATGGAAAAGTTAGCCTTTTGCCACATTTACTTGTGGTGGGATGGCAAAATCCGTGGGGTGAGTCAATTTGAAATATCTACCAAACCCGATGTTCACTTTAACAGTAATCTATTAGTACAGACTCTTAAATACTTTTGTTTCGTTAAGAAAATCAAGTGAGACAAGCAAATATTTTGTATGTCTTACCAAATAAGTAATATTCTCCCGTAAATTGAATGCTCTACTTTTAGAAGGTGAATTGGAAAATGCATTAGGTTTGAGTTATGACCTGTTAACTGTTTTAAAAACCACGACAAGATAAATATGTGCAGCATATTTGAGATTGACTTTTTTTGTTTTAGCGGATAAATGCACTCAAAACAGCGAGGGATGTAGGAATGTGTCAACCGAAATGACCTTGAGTGAGTGGTCATTGGTCAACTTGGGGGAGGATGGATTTTGGTCGATCCGTGTTGTAAAAGGCTCTCCTAAAGAGTATCACAGTCTAATCAACCTATTGTAAATAATTTAAGACAAGAAAAAAACTCGACTATGCGCAATAAAAACGGCATAAACCGATTTGACGCTCCTCCTTAGTCTAGTGTTTCAGCCACGCAAAATAACAAATGCTGACTAAAGGCAAAATAGGGATTTTTTGCTATCAGCTTAAACTTGAGATAAAGCTGCAACGTCATTTCGTATTTTCTAATTGATGCACTCTAATTCTCACGGAGTTCCTTGTTGCGTGCTTTTAATTTGACCTCAGCTAAGCTCATTAGCAACTGCGACTGGAAAAAGATGAGAATATCTACCACATCTAGTTATGTTTTTTATGGTAGATTTTGTGCTTGTGAAATTAGAAATCACAAAACGATACAATAGGAGTGGGTTTTATTAACTGATTTCTCTCGTAGGCTGTTGCCGTGATTTTGGACAGGGCTTTCTTCAGAACAAAATGCAATGTTCCATTTACGATAAACTGTTAAAACTACAATTTTTTCAGACGTGCAATTTTTTCTTAATGAGGCAATCGCCTGCGAGTTCCACTTTTGTTAAATGCTATCCCTTCGGAAGGCAAACACCTGTCTACTACCACTTTTATTCCCATTGCCTATTTTTATTTGTCTCTTCTGTTTTGTATGTGATTGCCCAGTCCTGGTGCCAGGCGAAGGTGCTAATCATCACAATGGGCTCAAAGAACTATCACTAGAGAAGTGCCAAATGGGAGGATGTTGCAGTTTCTTTCCCTTTCCCTCACATTCCCTCCTTCATATCCCAACTGAATTTTGTATTTTTCCACGACTCAGTTTTTGAGACGAAAGATTTTGTGCCAAAATGTCTTACAGACATGTGAGGAATGTGGTCACGAATGCTAAAATAAGGAGCACTTCATGAGTAGATACAATTCAGCCATGGTAAAAAATAAAAGATTATCCCTCACAGTTTTTCGTGATCGTTTTCTCCATTTATCATTTCACTTAGCTTGTATGCAGGATGACAATGATTCAACTACTATTTGCGGTTTTTTCTTTCAAATAGAGCAGTTTTATTTAACGCTGCTTACGGACAACCTTAAGAATAAGAATTGTCTTATACACCTGCTGACCTGTGACCAAAGTGTTTGGCAAAGATGCTTAATCATGGGCACTTTTTCCTCTGACTGCACTTAGTTGAAGTGTAAGCATGTGTTCTTGAACCTAAACCATCACTATGTGTCTAGCGCTCTCGATCTCATCAGTTCTTTCTCAACCCACCTTTTTCTACTGGATGACAAAAAATCTGTGTGGTTGTCGGGACGATCTACTGCAATGCCTTGGTGTAACTTTTAAGGACCTGTAAGATGTAATCGACGGTTTATAGTTTTGCGCCGTAAAGTATAGATACTATTTACCCTACTCCGCTCTTTATCTCTATAAAATGTCGGGTAACTCTAATGGATAGGACTTGAGCCTGTCTGTTTTATGGAAGCAGTTCAACTTGAACCTCGGTGCTGAGGTGTTTAAAAGCACTTGGAGACGAGAAGAAAAGCAATATCAGGCCGTACTGTCCAAAAAAATAGTTGGGAAAGTTTAGGACTTAGATATTCTTGCCCAATATTTGGAAGGACGGTCTGTTCTTGGCTCAGATAGGCAACTTCGTGTCACCACTGATTTTAGACGGTTGGAGGCGAAGGTCGTGGAATCTATCAAGTCAACAAGTACCACACGCATCAGCAGATGCTGGAGGGTATGCTTCAAAGACCACCAACTTTGGTAGATAACCTGGTGACCAGCTAATAGGCCTGGGGTGCTTCTGTGGCAACGATCGGTGGGCAAAATGACGCATCAAAACAAACCACTGATTACCCACTTTAAACTGCTGCAGCACTTACCCCTTCATCTCTACCAGAAACCTTGCTTACCTTGTGGGCCTTATATCTACCTACCCAAAGGCGTTCAAGAAAATCTCCTTATTTAGAAACGGATGGACTTCTTCTTAATTTTTATTCAGCAAAAAGCACAAATCTTGTGTCACAAATCACAGGTTTTAGCCAGGAGAAGATTCACACTTTCGGTTGACTGGGAGAGCGAAGGAGAAGGTAACACTGCTTCAAGCTCCTTCTCCTCATTCTCCTGCTAATATTTCTTCAAGTCACAATTGAAAATGGCCTTTTCTTGACACCAGCACCAGGCAATCACAGGCAAAATGGAATAGACAGGTGAGAACGAAAAATGAAACAAAATCACAACGTTTTGTTGCCTATAAAAGCTAAAACTGGAAACCTAGCTTACTGGCAGAGAAGTATACACCCTATTACTGATTATTTTGTTGCGAGTAATTCTTTTTCATCTGTTAGAAAAACCTTATGTATTAAAATATTTAGTCGTATGGATTGACGTAATTCGGCGAGCTATTCCTTACCTCTTTTAAGTAGAGAGGCAAATTCACCATGGAATTGAATTTAATTGCAGAGTCCGTGACTGTCCTGGTGGCCAAAGCAGACAAAACACATTGTTGATGTAGATGAGGGCTGAGAGGGGGCTACTGGCATGGTCCGGAGGCCAGGCCGCTGGGCAAGGCGAAAGTGGCGGAGCCCCAAAGTGACCCCTCATCAAAGTTGCGAGTTAAGCAAACAATTACCGACGGATTTATCACCGCTGACATCCAAATGAACAAGAAGTGGTCTTTTTAGTCTGCCCTCTGGTGCCCCATGTTTAGGCTTTCGACTGCTTTGTAATTAGCCGGTTGAATTTAAAAAGGCATTGCAGCATTTTTTACATCACGTGCCTAGACATCGTAATTGAACTTTATATCCACCAGGTGGGAGCTTAAATGTAATTAAATGAGGTGTACTTTTAAGGGCTGATAGAGGAGAAGTGTGGACTTTACGTAGACGGTGTGAAAGAAAACGCCATTCCGGCACACCTTCTTTAAGGTATGCTCCTCATCTCGGCTTTAAGACAGAAAAAGAAATGTCCGTTATTTAAAGCTGCATATAGCTGAAAAAAACTGCCAAAATTTGGCTGAAATCTGTGAACACTTTCTCTAGTCGAGCCATGGAGAAGTGGGAAATCCGCGACTTACACAAGAAGTGCTTATTACTGTTGGTGGACAAATCTCGTTACCTGGGAGTAAGCGCCCATGCAGGAAATCTGTGGTCCGCTCATGTATGAGCTTTGCGTTGAAATATTCCGCTCGTGCATCCCAACCACACTTTTTCTCCTTCTCCTTTTCCTTCTCTCGTAATTTTAACTTGCCACTTTATTTTACCGCGTTTTGGCAACTCTACGTTTCCCAGTAACTCAGCAGTACTTTGGTTGGGGAAGAGTTGTGTAGTCGATTTGAAAAATTGACTTGCCTCTAGTTTGACGTGTTTGTGCGATCTGCAATTCCTGTGACGTTACCTCCAGTGAGGAGGGTAAAGTCCACCCTTCTATTATCTTAAGTAAGCAATGGTAAAATGGCTAATTAGCGCCACACCCTAAGCGCCATTTCAACTCCTTGGAGAAAGCGGCATTTCGAGGTAATACGCAAACCTCCATCCAAGATGGCAAAAACAACAGCAGCGCTACACTCCTGGGGATGCAAAAAATTAAGGGCTCGGTCCTGATTCACTCCACAATTTTATGCTGCTTGAATGTTGGGTTCAGTTTTATTGTAATGGGCGACATCATCTTTCAAACTGGGAGGAAATTGGGTAGCTAATTTTGCAAGGCATGATTTAACCAGGTCCTGAGTGTAGCGAGAGAAATGGGTCGTGAGTTGGCCCACTTCCGCGGCATTGTATTTCTCTCTCGCCTCAAAGAATCCGCAAGCCAGGCTTTCGATGACCAAACACCATCGAAATGACCTTAAAGGGGAAGACCAATCCGTAGGTTACTGGTCTCAGCATTCCCTTGGTCAGAAACACCAGTGACCTTGACAACATCTTCCAAATGGCTGTTTAAACTCACCTTTGACCTTTTGGTTGAATTTAATCGCCTACTGGGAAGTATTCAGAGGCCTAAAAAATTGGAAAATTTTTAAAACAAACAACATACTTTGTTTACTCCCTAAGACATATTTCCCGGTTTTATTTGGATCCAAAGGTTAAAACGACAAGTAATGGTAAGGTGAATAAATCATGAGACTCAGTCCGAATGAAATGGCTCCATTTACTCGTGACCAAGGTGTACTTTAGTGATTTCTCTGCCATGAATAAGAGCCCTCTACTCGAAGAGTAAAACCTTCCCGAATTGCCTAGCCCATTGGTCAAATATGATTTGCAAGGCGGTAACTGACCAATGGGAGTGGTGGATTTGCAGAGTGTGAGGCAATAAAACTCCACCGTCCCTGGGACACACGCCTTAGTCAAATCGTCATGTTCACCTGTTGACGCTATCTGGAAGAGCCCACTGCCACCATCATCGCCATCATCAACACCATTACGATCGCGCACTCCTCTCTCTCTCTTTCCCTCTCTTTCCCAAGCAATGCCTACTGGAGTTAGAATTCAACTCGGATTCTCCTTCAGGTAGTTTTATTGTATGTCCTAACCTTTGCTGTACCTCCATTGTCCCCTTTCTTGACTCCCTAAAGCAGTGGCTTAGGGGCTCTTGCAGTGCTTACCACTACCAGAGCATGGAGACGACGGCATTGCATGATCTTTGCCATTACGGGGTTTAGTCTACCCCTCCATCCCGCATGCGTGCGCTTTTGTCGTTTGTGTGGAGACGAGGAATGTTGGTGTATACCACTCGGTCTCTTGTGCAGCCAAAGGGACTCTTCCAGTGGTTGGAAGTAGCCTTGAAAGTGATTGATGTCGTGTGTACGCCTGGTTACCTCAGAGGCAGCACTTTTCCCGAAATTCTATTTATAGTTCATGTGATGCAACCCCTTACCCCATGCTAAAGTCGCCACTCTTTCAGTAGGCGTTTGGCCCCAGGCTCTCCTATTGTATCCATCCAGCGGGTTAAGAGGAGACATAGATATTTTACATTTTGAGTAACATTTTTATCTATTTTACCCTTCAAAGCTAAGCCTCTATTTTACTGAAGTAAACGAAGCTAGAAAGTAATTAAATTAATAACACTTTGTTTGTTGCCTTCTCTCAGAGTTGGCAGTTGGGTGAGCTGGGATTCGAGAAAAATTGACCGCCATCACAGCCGACCAGCAGTAGTTGCTTTACTTGTCAAAAGTGTTAATCCCTTTAACACCCCTCTTCTCCTCATTTTTGATTTGACAAGGCATTTGACTAGGCAAGTATCACACCAGAACTCGTAATTTAATTGAATGTCAAAATGTCATGGAACTAAAGGTACCTGTATCAACAGGTTTTGGGCGCTAATGCCGCCGATCTTTGTAATATGGAGCAGTCGACGTGGTGGTCTTTTTGAGCACCAAAGTACCCGCCGTCAAAGGAAGCCTTTGTGCTAGAAGTTCGGTGCATTGCTGATAGCTTTTTAAGAGGTATCGGTCTTTCTCTCAATTTCGGGCATCTTTTTTGTTAAAACAAAATAGGCTAGTTAGTTATTTCGACCTTGGGTTATCGGGAAAATCTGGGTATTTTCTTTCCAAAAATGTTTTCTGTCAGTGATTTGACATGAAGTTGGGAAAAGGAAACGAAGATTTGGTTTTTTTGGAAAAGATAGCATACCACGCCCCTAGCGGCCTCTTAGTTTGCCTTTTTTTTGTAGATGTGCAAGTTTTTTTTTTTATAAAATCACTTGCCATGATGAACGAATGGACTGTATTTAATCAGTTGTTGGATAAAAGTTGCAAACTTGGCATGATTTGATAACCTTCTGCATATTACCCCTCCCTTCATAAGAGTAAATTTAAAAAGGTAGTTATAGACTAGATGCTATGGAAAATTAAGCACATACCGTGTTGAAGGTAATCACGTTGGATAGGTTGAAGCCCCTTTGGCAAATTTACACTTCCACTGTGTTGCACTTAACTTATTCCGTGTATACTTTATTGTAGAAATGTTAAAACCAGTGCCCGATACACTTTTGCAAGAATATTTTTAAATTCATGTGGATATTTTCAATCGCGTAATGTAAGTCCCCTTTTTGCTTGGACTTTCCCTTTTCCCACTATCACCACCACAGTTACTATCACACTCATGTACACTGATTTATGCAAAGTGATAAACGGAAGTACAAACCAAAGTTTAATTTTATTCGATATACCTTAATGAAGTTGGTTTTTCAGCTTTCGTTTTATCTATGCCAATTAGACCTCGATGTTTTTAATCCCTGGTAATGGGCATCCAAGTTGATATAGAAATCGTGTTATAAAAACGCGCCACATTTTTTCTCTCTCGTTAACGCTAGAACAAAATTCATGATGTCGAAATTTTCCAAGACCACACGCAGATTGGCGAGTGTTAGGGCCACACTCCATCAGACACAGATTTGATGAACAAGCAAGTAACATTTGCGAAACACCAGAGGTGAAAGTTTTGACTCCCCATTCAACGCAAAGAATGAGGGCGGCTTAATCATTTCGTATTACTCACTAGTGATTTAGTAAAACAAAGAGTTAGGATTCTACATTGGAGTGCGGTTTGATTGTTTCGTCCTTGCCTTTGTTTTAACTCTTTGGTACTCATTTTATAGATTATTAAAAACATTTAAAACATCGCTTCATAATTTTTTTCTTCCGCTATCCAACTTTGTCTTGTAAAAGCATTTTTATTGTCACTTTTAGAGCTTTGAGACGGAAATTCAACCAGTTTCTTCTTTCATACAGTTCAGATCCTATATGTGTATAGATTATATTTTTGAGGAAAAACAAACAATACTGATTGAATTGTAAGTGTTGCTTCATATTTCTAGGCAAATAATTTGGTGGTTATTCAAGAACACTTATAGTTATATTGCTCTGTTTTTTCTTCAGGCACCAATGCTCAAAAGGAAATCAAAAAGTAGGTTCAGATGTGTTAATGTCAAAATATTTAAGAAATGTCGGGTCTTTCTGGCTTAATTAAAAGCGAACTAGCAGTCATTGTGATCTGCATTTTTAAATAAACAAAGTGCTAGAAGAAACTAACGTTATCCCCAATTTGAAGTAATAATTTGTCACAACTTTTGGGCGGCTCAGGATGCTGAACCTGGTTCACATGCTTACGCATGTCACTTGCGGCAGCAAATTGTGACATTCACGGGAATTTTTTTAACCATTCTTAGTTAATTAATGATAAAAATGTTTATTTTGTGCAGTGAGATTATCGGTTGTCACCTGTTTGGCAAATTTTGATATAAGACTCTTGAAATGCCCGGAATGCATTACAGCCCTCAAATTTTAAGCGTTGATGTGCATAAGCAGATACTTCTTCTGAAGCGGCAATTAAATCAACATCATCTAGTGTGACTAAAAAGTCTGGCTTTTGGAAAAAGACTGCCTGATGACCAAAGATTACGCCTTCCCTTAATCAATGAAAATTAATTTCAAAAATTTTTCCCACAGGATTCTTTACTGCTCGGCAGCACTGAACTCTCAGTTGGACGGACCATTCACAGCGGTGGTGAGGATGAAGCCCCCCTAAGGTAGGGTAGAGCTCTTTTAACTTAAAGTAGACAGAGGCCATCCAAATAAGTTCTATGCACATGACGACTGAAAACACATGTCACTTTAACTGTGAAGAAAAACACAATCTCCGAATCCCAAACTTTTTGATATCCTGTTGTAAAAAGCGTCTTGGGCTGCAAAATCAGGGCCTTAGATGCAGACGGATCATTTCAATTGGGGAATTTTTAAGCTAATCTGAAGTGCCAGGTGGGGTACTTACATTGTTTGGCGTCACTAGACTCCTCACGCTAGCAACTGTAGCGATTATGTTGCAACGTTTTAATTGCTGGGTTTCAAAGGCTTGAACGACACCATGCAGTATAGGTCTTTTCAAGTACAGAACTCATTTTTCCGAAGACCGAGATTTTCATATAACAGTCAGAAGTTATTGTATGTGTGTGTGCGTGTGTGTGTTTTAAGAACATTGGTACTTAAGTCCAAAATAAAAAGACTTCTATCAGCATGCAATTAAAGACTAGACGCTGCAGTGTGTACAAGCAAGACATCTCAACGGCCGAATATGTGTAAACTTTTTGTCACCGTGTATAAAAACCATGTGAAACAAACAAAAATAACTTTGTGCTTCACATGGATTGCTATATAAATCATTATGAAGCATCTGTAGAATCGACTTTGCATTGCTGTGCAAGGCTTTAGGATAATGAGTTCTAGCCAAATAGTCACATTTCTTGCCGTATCAACTTCATTATGAGTGTATTATTAATTGCCTTTTCATTCACAGAAATTTGAGTTAATTTAAGCTATCTTTTATTTAAAGTCATAAAAGACACGACATCACTGTCAGCCAATAATAGCTGCGTGTAGACTGTTTCCTGAATGATACCATCAGCCGTTCACTCCTTGTAAAAATGCTAACCATACCAACAAAACCTGATCAGAAAGCTTTTTTTCATTAAATCAAACTCCGGGCCAAGGCGATCGACAAATATGAATGAGTTGTTTGAATTACCCATAGGGCAGCTTCAACGGACGCCCAAGCCTCCAACAATGAGGGAGGAAGCTTTAATGCATCGGTTATACGTAAGCATAGCCCTATTCATACTTCCCCTTTGTTTTTTGGCCCAACTGGAATGGTTACGTTTGCTTTTAACAGTGAAATTCCTAGAAAGTTTACTTATTTTTTAAAATTTAAACAACACTATTCTACTTAAGTTATATTTAAGTAGTAAAGTGTAGGGAGGAGACCCAGTGAAAAATTATTCAGCAGACATACAAATTTGAAGGAACGACAAATTTGATCGTTGAGTCCGTTTTTAATTCATTTTTCTTGTTTCCCGTTTCATTCAAAGCTCATCCTGATATCTTCCAATTTAACTTATGTTTTGTGGAACGCGAAAAAGTATTGTTTTGGAGTTTTATTTGCCGGTTAAGTTGTAAACTATGTTTTATTCTTCAACACAACTTCGTTAATGCTCGGAATGCTTTTTTTGTTTATCAAATGGAATACATTCACTTAAACGCACTTAAAAGCCTTCGTTTGACCTAAAATCTTCCTTGAAAGAAGTCAAAAGTTTGCTGTTGATAGGTAAAGTGGAGGCCTCGCAAAAAAAGAGTAATTTACCTATGATTAGAGACCATGAAGACATGAAAGAGCTTTTTGTAAACAATGTGGCGAAAGTGGTTGTTTTCTCATTTTGTAGTTTGCACTCGAGAAGAGCCTTCGACAAAGGTGAGATACACTTCGAGATATTTCTGCCTCTTGAAAGTACTTTCACTCCACTTTATACCCGGTACAATACTTTCTGCAGTGACCAAATTAATTATCCACGGCATCGAAAAGCACTCAAAAGTCACCGTATGCCAATTTGATAGGGGTTGTTTAAGTGAAAGAATGAATGGAAGGTGGATGGCTGTCATATCGGGGCTTTAGCGCTCTGAGACTTACCTGAGGACAAAAGGAGTCAATCATTTCTTATTTCTTAAACAACTGCCTCAGAAACTACTCGTTAGTACCTTCGAGCAGAGGTTAAGGGCAGAGCGGTGGGCATAACTTTAGTCCCTACTTCCGTTTTGACTTAGGATTTATGTTAAATACTTAATGAGGCTAAGACGATCTCGGATTTAGACTTTTCTAATGGCCCAGCTTTCTTTTACAGGAGAATATTGTCCTAAAGATGCGGGGTGTAGGCCTGGACAAGAAAGATATGTTTGGAAAATCCGATCCCTACATCATCATTCTCCGACGGAATGACCGTGGAAAGTAGGTGCATGCACGTGCCCTAGAAGTAGTGTGTTTCAAAGAAAAGTGTTGCAAATCTTCTAAAGCAGTCTTGATTGCTCAAAATAAAACATTTGTTCTAGAAGGGTGTACTTTTGTGCCCTCCCTTCGGGTTACTAACATGGCCTTCTCCTCATTATGACCCAGTTATGTAGTCACAATGGTAGGTTATGGGGAGGAATTGCTTCACTGGGCAAAGTGAATGCATTCACATGTCACATTTGCCCCATTTCTAAAGCAATATGGGTTTTGGGCATTCTCTTTTTAGGTGGGAACAGTGTTACCAAAGTGAAGTTGTAAAGAAGACACTTGCACCAGACTGGAAGCCTCTCCTCATCTCCCTCGACAGGCTCTGCGATGGCAACCTTGACAGGTCCCACGGCTAGTTCATTTGTAATACAAAGGACCAGTCTGTTAAGAGGGATTTATGGGCGAATTTTCTGTGAAACTTGTTTACAAGATAATGTGCACGTAGTTCTCTTGTAGCATTCTCATTTTATTTTGTATCCTTGCAGTGAAATTTGCTTCCGCTGCTTTGACTGGGACGGAGCGAATGGCGAAGGGTACGCTGCCTTACCTCCTCATAACTAACAATTGGGCGGTGTATGTGTATACATCCCCCATTAAATACTTCATTTTGTCTAAAATCAGAACATAAAATCTGCTTCCTTCCTACCGCGGTAGGTAGGAGAGACGTTCAATTTTAAAAGACGGCATATAGTTTTGGAGGTGAAAACATGTACCTCCATTGCCCCAGGAAATGTCCGTGGATAAATGTTCACCTTATTTACTGACATTGCATTAAAGCCTTCATAATCCCTTTTAAAAGTATGTTTCAAACGCATTACAGAACAAAATTTCCTTACAACCCCTAAATCTACTTAAAAAGTTTAAAGACCTTTAAGGCGGTAAATGTCAGGTCATGCACCTGGCTGACCCGATATAAATGTAGGCTGTCCTTACACTAAAGAATGCTAAACAATGAAGAATTCTGGTTTATTTGATCTATTTTCGTAACAAAATATGCCAGCAAAAAGCATTTAATGATAGCACCGTTTATCAATCACTTCAATTAATGCTGACATTTGGCATATTTTACAACTTTCACTACTCCTTTGGTACACATTTGTGCATGTTTTTTGCTCTCCCATCTAGAGACACCGTTGATCCGGACATCGAGTAAGTCAAACTATGAGAGGGAAGACATGCTTTTCCATCTCTCTCTCTCTCACTCCCTTTTCCTCCCTCCAACAGCGACGTAATTGGGGAGTTCATTACCACTGCAAGGTGTCTGCTAACCTGCTCACAAGAGGGAAGAAACTTTGAGGTAATAAGTTTAATTCCCATGTCTGCAGAACTTATCAATCAACCCGCTTAAAGTGTTGCCTCTTTTAGTTAATAAACCGGTCTAAATTTCGTCGGAAAAAGGTGTACAATAACTCGGGCATCGTAAGTCCTCCGTATCCCAATTCACTTTTGACATATTCAGCCACAAAATGTAGCCTGACAAATTTTCTTAGGGTCACAGGAAATTGAGTCGCAGGCTCACAAGTAGATAGGGTCATGGGCATTTGCTGAGGAGAGGACCCCAGCCAATATTTTGCCTTTTCAATTTCCCCTGGGGTAATGATACTTTTCACCTGTTAGGGGCTTACCAGAGATAAGTTTCTCACGGTGTTAAATAAAAGGTCAAATCTTCTTTTGAATTGAAGTCCCATTTAAGGGTCGGTTGGGATTTCTTAGCCTACCATCCTTATCATCAGCAGCAACAGCAACATCACCTCCCTTTAATTGAGGTTGCTACGGACGCACAGGAGTGAAATATGTTACTGTCAAGGCTTTACCTATGAAGCTGAAATATGGTTCAACCCAGCTCCCACCTTTGAGAAGGTTTGCGGTAGTGTCATGCACGAGTGGCTACAGTTTGGGTAATTATTTTTAGCCTAAGGGCTGGGGTTGCTACTTTGCAGATGAAAAAGTACAGACTACCTAGTGACAGCACATATGCGTGTCACTTTGTGGTTGACTTTGGCCTATTGCATGGAGTAATTTCCTTCATAATCCTTTATTTTTCTCATGACAACATGCTAGGTTAACGTAAAGGTCAGCATCTCTACCAATGCTTGCTCATTTCTGGACTATATTCTGAGCGGGTGAGCCTCTATGTCAGTACATTCGATTGCCTTTTGGGTTGTCAATCTTGTCAGCTGTCAAATCTTACTTTGCTTACAGGACCAGCATAAACGTTATTGTTGGGATTGACTTGTCATCTCAAATTCACCAAAGCCACAATCCAATGCTCTTTACTGAGGCTATCTCCATAGCGAAGTCGGCAGCTGTCAATAGCGAGTACATCATCGCTATCCAAGCCGTTGTAGAAATTCTTCAAGAGTATGACAGGTAAACCGGTCATCTTTGTAGCTCATAACCACTACAACACACTTAACTGACACTTTGATGTGCCATTGATCAGCCTAGATTTGGTCCTCAAGTCGGAGGTTGCCTCTGGAAAGTCACCGAGTCATAGAGCTGAACTGTAGCAGGATAAGTAACTAAGTTAGCAGTCATTAAGCTAATCAACTTCTACCGCTCCAAGCAACGAATGAATTATTTCTTAAAGCCAGTACTTTTAACCAATGGAGTCGTAAAAGCCCTTCTTGGATCCATAAATCTACCGGTACTGTTTCAGCGATGAACTTTTCCCCGCCTTCGGATTCGGCACACGAATCGGTTCAGATGGCCGAAAGTCTCACCTCGTCCCGCTGGTAAGCGCGCCTAACTTTCTGGCTTTTGTCCTTTTTAGCGTAAACGGTTTCATTTTTGGGTGTTTTAAACGCCCTTTCTCAGTGGAGGTGGAGTTTGTCACACAGAGAATGATTGTCCTAAAGAAAGGAGAGGGGAGTAATTCCACTTTCCTGTGCCGCATTTTCAGACTTTCATCTGTTACTAGCTTACGTAAATTGATGAAAAATGAAATTTTAAAGCGAAACTTTAAATTGAGACCCAAGATTTTGTTGAGGGCAATAAAAGTACCAGAATTTTGTGTCCGTTAAAATGTGCATTTAAGGGTGATCCTGGTTTTTAACATGGCATTGGCAATATGTGTTGGGCTCCGCCTCCACCTTCCCATCCTTAAAAAGGGCGGGTTGGTTGAGAAGATATTTTAATGTCCAGGTGCTATAACAATGTAGAAGGAGTCGGAGTTATAGGGGCTGGAGTTTGTTCCTTCCTTAGGGGTCAGGGGTCAGTGGGGTTCTCTCAACCAAGAAGTTGGCGTAAGCTGACCGCTTCTCACCTAAAAGGGTCATTCAAACCAACAAACAGGTGTACGAATATCTTTAGACCCAATAAGAGAAGGATTTGACAACTTCAGAAAGGATTTGCTCTTACTTTAAGTCTAACTGGAGTAGCAATTGACGGCGATTCCCCAGATGAGAGAATATCAGACCGAGTGTACCCTTTTGTGTCTAAACCAGTAGTTAGTCTAGGCCCAATGCTAATAAGGCATTCTTCAATCCCTGTAGACAGGTGATCTGAATAATCCCAATTGCAAGGGCGTGTCGGGAGTGCTTGCAGCCTACAGTCGCGTGGTCAGTGAAACCTGCGGCTCGGCTCCGCCAAACTTCGCACCTCTCATCAGGCACGTCAACGAGTGAGTTTTGACATCTGTTTTGACATTCTTTACAAGTGAATGGTGGTAATGATTCTTAACTTGGTAGATGACGGCGAAAGGCCGTTGAAAGCCAGCTGTCTGAGACAACGCGTTTAAGTCACCTGACGGGTTGAATTTGCGGTGCAGTTAAAAACGTCTTTCTGGCCATCACACATTGGAGTTTTGAAGTTGTTTGCCTTTAAATCACTGGCTAAACGTCTAATCAAGCATGAAGCTGGCTTGACAGATTGCAGTTGAAAATGTTATGTCAGATTGTGAAGTAAAAGGAACATGAGGCCATTTCGCCTCTTTTCTTCACACTATACATCCACTATTTGCAAAACCGATCAAGTTTTCCGCGTAAGAATATTAAATTCGGTCAGGCGAATGGTTTCGGGTAGATGATGATTGACACATCAAACACTTCCGCTGTTGGTAGCATTTCATCGAGGGTTCAACTTCCCCACCACAGTATGCCCTCATCTGATCCAGGATGCCGAAGTCACCGTCCACCTACTTGAATCAAGTCCTTCTCTTGATCAGCATGTCACAAAAGGACATTACCTGTGTTTGTCGAATGCATTCAATAAAACACCTCTTAGGCTCATGAAATGGAGATTCACTTTCTGTCCGGGAAGTGGAGAGGTGGAAAAGGTATCGTGTGTTTGCGCAATTGACATCGCCATGCAGGTGCCGAGGACAGCCCCGTAACGAAATTTTTCGGATAGTTCATAAAGTGGGGTAGTTGCCGAAGGCGGATGTCCTTTTCAGCCATTCTGTTGGAAATCGTCACAGATCCTCCCATCCGCAGCATATGCCCTTCTTTCATTGGTGATGGAAATCAGGTAGTTATCCTTTGGAATCGGACTTACTGTCCGCTGCCACCGATGTAGTGCCCCGAGTCTTCCCTGAAATCCAGAGTCCTAAATTATCCACACTTTGCCGTGGTCTGATTAAGCGAACCCAGGCATTATGTTTACTTCCCAGATCTTTGAAATCCTTTGTTCATTACAGTATTTTTTTCGATTCAAGAAGAAAATAAAGTCTGTTGGACACCAAGGGATTATTCTTAAGTAATCTAGCGGGAGAATCATCTGTTTAGTGGGGTCACAAAAATCCACCTCGAATGTTTGCTCAACTTCCGTCCTACTTTAAGCCTTACAGACTAGTAAACAAAGCCATATTTCCGTTTGACTGGGCAATAGGATAAAGGAATGGTTGCCATCGTTTGATGCTCTTCCGTGAAGGTTCAAAGGTCTGCGTAAATTAATCCACCGGAGTCGGGAAATACCCCTCTCCTTTTTGCCACAAACGTTGCATCGTCTAGTCAAAGTCAACCTTTCTATTTTATAGTCTGACATGATTTGCTGTAGACCTTCGAATATAGCGTTTCATTTACACCTCTCGTACAGTTGACGATCAAGTCAAGCCACAGAGAGTGACGCTGGTAAAAGCAGGTCACGAAGTCACGAGACTGCGAGGTGACTTCAAAGGTGGTCCAATGTACACCTCAACAAAGTATCTACATTAAAAGTTACTTAATAAATCCCCAAATTTATCCGCTTTTACCGACAATCAGGAAGCAAATAATTTCTTTTTTCTTTTTTTTTGAACTGTGACGCTGAGGATAACTTCGTTGTATGGACTTATGATGAATAATTAGTATTATTTTGAATTTAGCTGAAAGTGTTTTTCAGGAAACAAATTGTGAATAATATGTTTTAGCCAAGAAAATTTGTTGCTGAGACTGGTTAGGTTACTTTGTCTGCCCTAACATGGTGGCTGTGAGGAGCCCTTTTAAACCGTTTTGTATGGTCACACAAAATATTTACTGCAAAAGAAACTGAAACCAAAGTCAATTCATGTAAAAGTGCAACTATTTTTACAGAAATTCTCCAAAAACTGATTACCTTATCTACATTGCTTGTCACAACGCAGTCGGCCAGCCAACTGCGCCAGTCATCGAATTGAAGCGTATTTTAGAGGATATCTGACGGCAACAACGCAGATCCCTTTTGGTATTTCCACTCGATCTAAGGCTTCATTTTGTTTCTGAACTGTACTGGAAGAAGGAGAGATGTACCGGTCATCTTGTATGTCTAATGCTAGGCATTGTAACCCTGGCCTAACAGCAGAGTCATTTAATAAGGGACGGGGTTCAAAGTAGACAAGGCTTCGTGTCTGCTACTCCCTTCCACGATGTTCACACTTCAAAGCCGTCCAGCCATATCTAGCTGGGTTCTCGCCATCTAGTAAAGGGGTCGAGGAGGTGGCGCATTTTCACTTAATGGACACCTTCATGCAGATACCGTAGACAGCTCTGTGACGAACTTTCCCACATAATTCACGGCTGCTGTTGCCCGCTGTAGTTGTTGATAGCCTTCCTGCACAACACAGGATTAGAGTGGATGCCAAGTTTATGTGTCATTTTCAACTCTCCTTTTAAGGGTTTTCACAGATTCTCTCATACACATCATATCCCCTTCATCTGTCACGCTAAGGTTTAGCGCTCAGCAATAGGAATCAGGTCAGTTGTCCTTTAGGATCGGGTTTGTTTGCCTCTACGGAGTCTTTTCTAGAAAAAAAGAAGCCATAATGCCAGGCAGAATATGTATTACCAACGCGTATAAGGACTGAGAGTTGTTGACATGACTCAGAGACCATGCCGTCCAGCGGGAGTACAATAGCGGAACCTTAGGTGGACACATAATCAAAGCTGAGAGTTAAACATACAATTAAAGCATTACGTAATGGCACTAAAATGCGCGCGTTTTCTTTAGCTTATATTTAGTTTTTCTTTACCTTTCCTACGCCTTCAGAATGGCCAAAGGCTCCCATGACAGCTCAAAGTACTTCGTCCTCCTCATCCTCACAACCGGATTTGTGGACGACTGGGTGGAAACACAAAGGGCCGTGATTGAGGTAGAACTCTCTCGTAATTTTTTCACCTTGCAAAGACACAACTCAACTGTCGCCTAAATCTAGAAGTATTAAAATATCTCACTTTTTCACATTTTGATGAGGTAGTAAGTGTGGAATGATTCACCTTTTGAGCCTATTTTCCACCATCTTAAATTACTTTTTCGAGTTCAGGGCTAGGCACCCAAAAAAGGCGCAGTGCATTCTTGTAAATGATTGTCTACGAAGGGCATTTCATCAGACCCCCCTCGTATAAATTCCCTTACACGCCTTCCTAACCTCTCAATCCGGTTTTGTCAGGCACTCTACCATCACCTACCGCATTAATGTGGAATGCCAAGCTTTGTCAAGTTTAATGCATTTCTGGAGGAAAATATGCATTTGGAGTGTAAAATTTCCTCCAACTTTAAAAATGATGATATCGTGCATAAGAAAGGTCTTAATACTTTTTTTGCCACGTGTCGATTTTTCTTGAGAAAAAGCCCACCGAAAACGTATCTGCATCGTGCGGATTTCGGGCCACAGTTGAGCATTTTTGTGCGTACCTTCCCTTTCCCTCTTAAGCACAACAAGTTATCTTGATGCCACTTATTCTCTCAGCGTTAAAAATTTTGTTTAACTTTAAAAAAACCAACCAGCAGGACTGCCTGCTCTCCACCCCTTTTTCTTGACGACATTTTTAACGACTGCCACCATACAATCTGGAGGACAAACGGCTTCGGGAAATAATAATTTGTTAGAAAACGCAGAAAAGTGGGGGTACTTCTTGAGGCCTCCTCAATGAGTGGATGTGCCTACAATGGAAAGCTTTCTCCTTCACAGCGATAAGACTCACCAAAAATCACAACTTTAAAGAGCTTGTCATAATTTCCACCACTGTATTTGAAGGGTGTACCAACTAAAGTCCCTTTTTCAGTCATCACCAAAGGAGGATTTGCAAGCTGCGCAGATTATGATGGTGCACCCAAGAGTTTGGCTTCATTGCCAAAGCAGGCAACTATGCTGATGCTATCTTTTCTATCGTGAAGCTGATGTGTCCATCGATAGTAGTGCAGAATGAGAAAGTTCTTTGTTGCGAGTTTGTACTTTTCCTCAAAAGCAAAGTATGATAATAAACATCAAAATTCGCTTGATGATCTGTAGTGAATAGAGAGAGGGGTGGGCTCAGTCGAAACGGAGGGGAAATAATAACTCCTAGCGGAGAGGTCGGCTGGGCACCCCGCGCACGTTGTATGGAGCCCGAGCAGTGACTGAATCACGATTGTGTATTTTAACCGACTTTTCATGTAGGAGTTACCCACAGTCTAGGGCGTCTCAACTGTTAATACGTCGCGACCGTATGTGTGAAAACCTGATTTTTCATTCAAGTCACAAATTTATTGTGATATTTTCATACAAACTCTAAATTCAATGTTATGCCAGCGAAACTTACCTAAGTGGATATTAGGTGGGAATAGGGTTCTGCGAAGGGGTTTTTTTCATAAGTCTTTCTTACATTACAGGCGTCATTTCTTCCTATTTCAATCATATTCATAGGCGTTGGAGGAGGAAAATTTGAAGGTAGGTTTGGGGTTTGTTAGACTTTTAAAATTCTCAATTTTTTTAGCCAATCCATGTGACCTCGTGAACGAAGAGGTGATATGCCAGTAAGGTTGCCACGTTTGCCAAAGGCTGATAAGATCATCGTGACGTCACATATATGTGACGCTGGTACCTGCCACGTCACATTGGAAAGTTTTCATAAGTGATTAATGTTAGTTAAGCTTCTTTTGATTCAAGTCTGTGTAGGAGGTGGTCCATTCAAGAAACCGTGCTCTTAAGTATCGCCTATTGGATAAGCCTAATGTAGACACTCAAGCCTACTACCTTTAAGAGATAGATTGCTCTTCCCCTGTTTGTTTGAGGGCGAAAATAAAAATTTTTAGGATACCTTCCGGAAAATAATATTTTATTTAATAATTACTAGGCAATAATGTTATAGGGCCCATACTACTTAATTTTTAATGAGTACCCTTTACCCAGGTTTTCGAGTACTTTTACCTTTTGACTTAGATGTCCAATAGTTTAATTTTGAAAAATACTAATAAGGTGGCAGCTTTCGACGGAGGCAGTAATACTTCTGACCACTTATTTGTGGAGTTGGTGCCGTCTTCTGTCAGCCTTCTCCAAGCTGTCAAGTTGTTGAGGGGACGCAATCGGAAAACCTGAGAAAAAAAACAATGTTGCCTACACCACCTCTCTCTTCTTGTATTTTTGTGATTCTGACAGAGTTTATTTTGGATTGCATAAATTTTGTTTTCTATCACTGCAGTGAATTAGGTATAGTCCTCCCTTACTTCTATAAAATGACATTCCTTTTTACGCGGCACTTTTTCCTGCGTAATTTAGAACATGCAGCACAAACGTTGTCACCTACATTACTCTATTGAAGTATTTCTTTGACTTTCATTTAGAGCTACAGGTGCTTGACCAAGATTTCGCTTTGCTCAAAGTTGGCTCAGAAGAAGCCTGTCGTGACAATGTTCAGGTAAGGTCTTACTTACTTTGGACCCGCAAAGCACTCAGTGTTGATCCGGGCCTCCTCAACTCAATTCTTAAGCTTCAAAAGCCCCACACGAGACTTTTCCCATAAAAGCCATAGAAGGTGCGACACGCGGTAGCAGACATATCATCTGACTTTGGAGCCGAGCTCAGAAAGACGCTCCATTCTTGATTCGAGTAGACTTCTATGTGCTGTCATTAGTTCAGATAATTAAAGATGAAATTGCCAAAAATGGCTTTCAGTAGTTTTTACTGTGAGCAGTACGGCTGCTGATTTGCGTACGCACCGGCTCAAGAGGGAAGGCCATCGACGCCACAATGCAAATGGACTCTAACCAAATGCACTAATAGCGGATGACAAAAGGCTTCAAGGGACATACGTTTGTTCTTTACATCCCTCGCGTAAGTTTTGAAAAAGTCGTGCATTGTAGACTGTTCACTGACCACCCGCTTGAACGGTGTTAAGAGGTGGCTTTCGTGCTTTTGCCAACACAACAGTGGTTACGCACTAACCACCACACCTCCTTGGCACTTTTCTTCGCAGGTCCGATGCGCTACGGACGCGTTACTTCACCATAAATTGCTCATTTTCTAAAACCAAAATCATTTTGGCTTAGATCTATCCGCTCTTTAGCATAGAGATCAAAAACTGTGCAAGGCTAGTTATAGAGTCGGAAGGATGTCATATACTCCTTCAATATGCCGCAAGGTCTCAAACCTCGTTTGCCGAAATCTCAACACATGGGAGGAATTTAAGCTCAGTTAGGGTGCTCAGTTTAGCGCGAGAAGGCGAGAGATACTTCCTCATCTAAATTCTCATCCTCCCCCCCCNCCC